CGAACCTTACGAAATGTAACATTAAGTGTAACTATGAGAGGGTGAGAGAGAGACGTTCCTTCTGATCATGTTACAAACGACAAGTAACTGGCACGGAAAGATGTTATGGGAATTTAGACGACGAAAGGCAAGAAGAATCAAGATGTCTATATATGGACCAATAAAGAACAAGGAAAAACACGCTTGTTGGAAACAAACTGGGGTATCAGCTGCTTGTTTTTTCTGTTCTTAGCTGATTGGTTACTGGGTTACACAACTACGGTTTTTCGACTGCTAAATTGGTATAGCGCCGAATTACAGATGACTGTGGTCGATGAATTGGAAAGGACGTGGGAGAAAGCTGTGGTGACATGAAGATTTCTGTTTTCTGGGTTGTTGCGCTGTGTAGTCTGGTAGAAGTTTACCAACGTTTCAGAGGTCATACTGCCTCCGTCATCGGGGCGGTGAATATGAAGATTTCTGTCTTCTGGGTTGTTGCGCAGTGTAGTCTGGTAGATGTTTACCAACATTTCAAAGGTCATACTGCCTCCGTCATCAGTATTGAAGATGTTGACGCATACAAACTGACACCGGCGTCGAAGTTACCTCAGACGAAAATTCTGAGATGTATTTTAAGGCAGTGGTGGAAATATAGCCGCAGGAAGAATGGCACGCGTCTGTATATAAAGAAAGGAAGGGATTCATGGATAGAATATTTGGTATTGCACAACACTTCTTTGTAACTTTGCCAATTTTTGTTTATTCAACTTGCCTTCTTCCCACTTAATCAAATTATTTATTTTTGCATGAAAACTCTTTTTTCTTTGATTTTGTTAAACTTTACCTAACAAACTTTGAGTTTGTTTGCGTTCTGATAGAGACGACAAAATCGAGAAATTCCTGTAAACAGTTAATAAGAAATGCAGGGCTTTTTGTACTTTTCATTTATTCGTTACGCAGTCATATTGTCATGGAAGCTATGTTTTACCCAGATGACGTAAAACTCGCACAATCAATCAACGAAAATAACAATGGACGCTTTGTGCGTCTCCAGTGCACATTGCAGACTCCGCTGATATTTCTGGGCTGAATGGAATTCTGAAAACTCTTATTCTCCTTGAAATAAATCGTCTCTTGAAGATGAAAAGTAACTTTTTATAGAAGGTTGGGGTTGTTTGGGATTACCATCATTGCTTTACTTGGCGCTTAGCAAGCTGTCGTGGGAGAGAAGTTTGTTTTCTTCCGCTAAAACAGTCAAAAAGACAACGAGGAGTAGGAGGTTCGATAAAACACTTCTGACATACATTAAAAATGAGAAATCGTGAAACTTTTTTCTGTTCATCCCACTTACACCACGAACAAAGAGGAAAGTACAGAGAATGTCTCCACGGAATGTGCGCGTTATAGAAATGAATAAACTGTAACTTGAAGAACAATTTAAAACTGTGGTGTGATATTTAATTATTAGTCGTAACAATTTCTACCCTATCAATGTCATTTTGTAAACTAAAAATGTATTCACTAGCGTAGTATGACCCGAAATGGCAGTCTCCTGGGTTGTTTCGCTGTGTAGTCTGACGTCTACCAGACTACATTGTGCAACAACCCAGAAGTCAGCCGTCAAATTTGACAGGTCATACTACGCCCTAAATGGAGGCAGCAGGCACCTTGAAACGTCGGTAAACTTCTGCCAAACTGCACGACGAAACAACCCAGCAGACAGCCATCTTCATACTCGTTTCCGTGAGAAACAAAAATCTCACAATATTTTGTATACCGTTTCGTGATCTGGAACTTATGACAATTAGGTGATATGAATAACAAATTAAAATTGATTGTGGAGTTGTAATACTTGTTAATTTAGGCTATATATTTCCACAGTCTTAAATTCACTATGAAATCTTTCTGTTTGTTAATATTTTACCTACATAAATTGCGAAACATTATGAAATGATAAAAATTATATTGTAAGTTTGTGTTGATTTTGTCTCGTTTAATATTTACCTCCATACCAATAAACCACGAAAACCCCCACGTTATCTTTTATCCCAGTACAACAGTACGTTCTCAGAGATTTTTGTATTCATGACTGAAGTCGAGGCATATTATCACTGGACAACGTGTGGAATTGGTCTCTGTGTGGTTGGAATCTATTGTCTATCGAGAGGCCGGCCCGTTGAATAGGGCCTCCTGTAATCAATCTGCTCGTATAACTTTCTGCCACTGTATTTGCATACCTTTCAATTTCGATAATTCTGCTTAGGTTTCATTCAGCACTTCGTAGACGTTCCCATAATTGAATTTAAGGGAGATAGATCCATAGAAATAGCTAGCCGATTTTAGGAAGCTGTAGGTCCAAATATAACAGACTAGGGAGTAATTTTATACACTACAATTACATAAAGTTGTCCCACTATACGTGTTTGAGCCTGACAGAATTAACTAGGGAATATTGCCGTTCTCTTGCGGGTGTTATCCATCTGTGGTAAAAACGGGAATCGTATTACGTTACAAACAAACGCAGAGAATTTTCTGGTGGTTTACTAAGAATTGCGAAAAGGAATAGTTTGCAGTTCTGTTTTTCTAGCAACACTTAAATCACATCGTCTTGACGATAAGCGTGAACTGTCCTTAGCCGATCTCTCTTACCGTTGATTATGCTTGTGCCATGAAGGTGAATGGGCAGTACAGATAATGCCGAACGCATTCTTAACCTCGGCATT